TTTTCCCTCTTTTCCCACCCGCTCCCTCCCCTTCCTGTTAAATATGCAGATACAGCAGCGCATGAGGCTGCTCGCGGGTTCGTTGCAAGAATTGGGTCAGTGGCGACGTCACAGCGCTTTAAAGCGAGGCAGAGTTTCTTTAGAAGACTCCCAGCGAAGGTCTGACTCTTCTGGAGAAGAGGAAAACCGTCTGCAGCTGAACTGTGGTCCTCAATCAGGGAAGATTGATTTTAGTTTTAGAGAGCAGCGCTGTCTAGGTTTAGAGGGGGGGTTTTCTTAGTCCGATACCCACCCAGTGATGTCAAACTATATTGATAGAGCAACATGAAGAAAGGGATTGTACACCACACTGATTCTATGTGAGTCATGTATTTAGGAATGTCAAGTTTTGCTGCACCTTATGCTACTGTGTTATTAAAGCAACTATGCCATTAGACCACTTTTAGACTCTCCTAAGGTTAAAGTACAATTGTATACATCACCCAACCTGTCTAATCAATGATCTGATGGGAAGGAAATTCCCAAAGCCATGTGGTTCAATTGTTGCCTGTAACCCACAGGCTCTGACTAATGCTGCTCTCACTCATCCGTGTTGATCCTTCTGTCTGTGATTAACATTGATCTCCTTGTTAACAAATGTGACCCCGAGCATTGACCTTCTACAAAGACATCGGTGAAGAACCACAATAAAGAGGCAGAGAAAGAATCGCCAGACACAGCTTTACTCTCTTCCCCTCCATGTTCTTCTGTGGGAAGTCTGCTCATTTAAATCATCTGTGTTTGATACATTTCTTCACATGGTCTAAATAATAAGCCAAAGCAAACAGGGTTTCTCGTTCTTGTCACTTGTCAGTGAGTCCTCCCTGCAAAGCTGATCAGCGGGCAGGTAAGAAGAAGACATTTTCTTTGTTTCTTGGGTTCCTTTATTTGATTCTTGAGCTAAGGAATCCAAGACGCAGAGAATTTTTCCAATCAGCATGATGTGTATTATCGCCTGTGTGTGTTTTCATCTGCATTCAGGGACACTTCATCGATTCTACACATCAGTCAATTGACTTGTCATAAAGGAGTACTACACAGCCTTTGAAAACATAATGTCTTCAGGGACCGTGGAGGAGCTCGAGTCAAGTCTGAGAAAATAGCCTCTGATGATGTCATAGCAATGTCACAGGATTATCTCGGCTGGGGCCCGGAGACTACACATTTATTAGTTTTAAAAAGCTTGCTTTAGAAACTGGGGGTTTCAAGTTTGAAAGAAATGGACATTTACCAGGCAGAGAGTGAAAAGACAGTATTGGTTGTATTATGGGAAATGAAGGATTCAGTGTTTTTCGAGTTTGATTTAACCGGGGCACTAAAAGTCAGAGTATTTTGAAGTCCCCCACTTTATGCAAGTGCAATAGTAAATCACAAGAGTACTCCATGAACATTTTCTAAATGTTAGAATTACAATTATCCTCTATCATTCATGTACATCCTTGTTGGAGGGAGGTGCTCTGTAATTGCTTTGTAGTTCTAACACTCGATGAGTTTTAAAATGACAGTAATAGACATCTGGATTGGCATAACGCTGGTACTGAGCTGCTTCAAGGACTCTTAGTACGCCTTGTGTTCAAGCTGCTGAAACCAGTTGTTCTCCTGTTCACAGATGATGGATGTTAACTTTAACACATGCATTTTCACGCATCATTTGTCTAAATGATCACCACTGGAACTCCTAACAATGCCAGATGTAATGTGTTTAAACAGACTCCCTTTGCACGCCGTAAAGCCCTGTAAAATGTGTAAGTGAATCAAAAATGTGGCATAAACATTTTGTGGCAAATATTTAAAATGTTGCAAATATTTTTCTCAGCTCCAAAATAACACATTTTCCAACTGCAACAACTCACAATCTCACAAAATGAAAAAGGGAGCAGTAAGATGCTGCTATGAGTCATCGAACTTTATGTTGGTTTTCTTAGTCGCTAGGAGCAAAAAACCCACAAAACTCACAGGTCACCCGAGAAGAGCTTTAAGAAACAGTCTTTTCTGGTTATCTGGCAGGGAATCAGTTAGTCACCATCACAAAGCTGCAGAGGTGAAAGCACTGTGATTCTGCCGTTTCCAAGAACAAAAATCTCACCGTGTTTTGTCATCGCCCGCCTCCAGCCGTGTAGCTAAACCCGGCACAGCTTTACAGCTCACTCCCCTGCCTAGCGCCTGCGAGCTGAGCCCTAGCCGCATAAATTATGGATCAGAGAAATATTCCTGGACCTGTTTTGAGAAAGTACTGAGGTTCTGGACTCTGTCGGGTTCTTCAGAACCGACCTGAGGACAACCAGATGGTCCAGTCGCAGCCCAGCCAACCCAAACAGAACCCCTCAGAGCAGAAATATATATAAATAAATATTCATCAGGATGATAATGTGCTGGGGCTTGTGCCAATATACATAAAGAGCTGAGGTCCCTGGACCCCCCCCTAGGTCATTGCTGTGGAGAATAAAAAGAATGCAGCCTTTTGTCTGTTTTCTTTGCTTCACTTTATTTCTCTCACTCTTCCCTTTTTACAGCTTTGTTTCCAAACATGTCACTCATTTTCTCTGCTGCTCGTATCGTCTGCTGCTAATCTTTCCTGTCCTCCTCTAATCTCATTGCACTTTGCCTTCCTCTTTTTTATCACCAGCCATCCATCCTCTTCCTCTCCTCCTTCTTGCTTCCCAGCTGTGTTGGATTCCATTTTTAGGTCCAGGGCTGGCTACCTGGTTCCTGGCTGACATTTAATGCAGCTCAGTGTGTCCCTCATGGCCGCCCTTACACTTCCTTCAAATCATCAGCCCCCTCTCCAGCAGTATTTTATGACATTTCAGAGTAGAAACAGGTGACACCCAAACTGTCCAAACCCAGAGTCCTCCATTTTCAAGTTCTTCCTGTTGAGCAGGTCCAGTGGGTGGCACTCACTCCCGGCCAGGTGGTAGTGATGGGGCAGGTGGGTGGGTGGGGGTGTTGCATGGCTGCTTTGTCTCTGTGTTTATTTGATATCTGGCCTGAACGCACAGCCAGGATGAAAGAACAAGCACAAAAAAAAGACAGAGTGGAAAGAGAGTGAAAGGCGAGATGGGTGTGTTTATTTCATGTTTGGCTGAATATACAACGGGCATAAAAAATAGTGAAAGAGACAAAGAGAAGGCAAGAGAGAAAAATGGGAAATGAGAGACAGACACGCTGAGACTCCGCTCAGGATGTCAAAACAGAAGTGTTTGAATGATTTGCTGGGCGAAAGAGAATGCAGTTTATAATTCTCTCCATCAATCTAAACATAATGACTTCATATTTCTCACTTGCCGAGCCAGCTCAACGGACGACCCGGGAATAAAACAAACATGTTAAACCGATTCCAAAATGACGAGGGCCTCTTGTCTTCCCTCTTTGAAATCCACTCTGCTCGGGAATAATTAAGGCGGCTTATGGCTGAGTACAAAGGCAGAATATTGTTGAGTTGTATTGTACTGTTGTGTGTGTATGAGAAAGAGAGAGAGGGCACCTGCATGATATCCAAAAAAACACAGACAGTGTTTGCATGTGAATATTTTGTAGGTGTGTGTTTTCTGTCCGTTGTGTGTGCACCTTAGTCTGTGGTGTTTTTTTTTTTTTGCATAATTCTTGTTCATGTGTGATGCTGTGTGTGTGGGGTGTGTGTGTGTGTGTGTGTGTGTGTGTGTGTGTGTGTAAGGGAGAGAAAGAGCGCATCTCTGTCTGAGAGCATTAGCAGCGAGCCTGTTCTCTGTATCTCAATGAGGGGATTAGAGGACTATTCATTAGACAGGCTTTGATAGGTGACTGGCCGAGTCCATCCACTGCTGCTGCTCGAGTACTGCCAGACAGAGAGGCCAGGGGGTAATGGAGGAAGCCCGGTCTCTAGTCTCTCTCTGTCTTCATCCCCCTTTGTCTCTGGCCCGCTCTGTCTCGTCCCTTTCAACATCATTGGGAAGAGATTTTTTTTTTAAACTGATGCAGTCAAACCCAGCAGCCTATCTTTGGATTTACAGGAATGGAGTAGTGAGTAAACATATCTAAAGTCTGTTATTTATATGTAGAATACAGCTGACCACCTTTTCAGGTTCATATAAATATAAATATTACATACTGTACATTTAGCATACCATTTTTGAAGTGTTTGACAATTAGCAACATGCAGTAAGAGAGTTGTTTGGTGTAAATGATATCATGCTATAGCACTGGAAAATAAACAGGGTTTAACATTTTTTTAGGGATAAAATACTTTTAGCCCTTTTATTTCAAATACTTGAATTGATGAGAAACACAATGATAACAAGCTTTAGTCCATAGTTTCCTATAATTTCCTAGAAGGAAACTGATATGTAACTGTAAATTCCCAGGAAGGTTCCTGGAATGTAATTTGGTACTAATTACAGGGAAAATAGAGACAGTGCTCACTTGGTACACCTCCAATTAATTAATGCATTCCAATTAACTGCTGGCACACGTCTTCTACTCAGTGCACAGCTTAACATTCAAAAATGTACAGTTTGTATACAGGCGAGCATACAACATACATGAAGACTGAAGAATAGTGAATACATTTTTACTTTGGGTTAAAGCAGGACAGTTTTTCCTGTGCATCGAGTTATTTCCAGGGAACTTTATAAGAAATTATAGTCTGATCAAAAGTAAGTTGAAAAAGGTAATTTATTCACTCTTTCAAAGAGACAACTTTACTTTTTTGGGGGAACTTTTGTGATTCTTTCTCTTTCTGAGGAATGTTATTTTGAGCATGCACCAATTTACAGTCAGTGTCAAGACCCCACAAGATAAATCTGTTAAAATTAGCCTACTGTGAAACCTTTTTGAGATACAGTAGGAATGTCATGTAATTTGTAGTAAAGGCTAAAACAGACATAGCCCTTTAATTCATTCCCCCCCCCATATGAGTCCCAGTTCTCAAGAACAAAAAGCACTGGTTTGGTCCTTTAAATCTTTCCTTAGAATATTATGGAAAATAATATATAATATAATATTTTTGTTAGTTGACTTACTTTACTTTTGTCAGCTCATTATTTTAAGTTACTATCTCCATCTACAGAAGATGTGCACCATTGTACAATATGTGAGGAAAGACAATCTAAAAATGTTCATAACTGACTTTAGCATGGCGGGAGGTGAGGCGGCTGCTGTTATCTCTGCTGTCCCTTTTTTACATCCCTCTGTGTTGAATCTGTTGCTGTTATTCAGCTAAAGTGACGGGAAGCATCTCTCCAGGAAAATGGCGATTGAGAAATACCCCCATCTGTCAGCGTTGGAGGTTTTTCCTGACAAGGCATAGGCTTTGAATGCAGCATGGAGCATCGCTGAGGTGAATGGAAAGATAAGGTTTGCCTGAGTAAGCTTGTGCTCACCATTGATGGTGACATATGGTTTTTATTTCCCTACAAAAAATCCCTCCTGAAGTTTGCTGAAAGTACACACTGTTCAAAAGATGATAAGAAAAGACAACTTCATGTGTGGAAAAAGAAAGAAAGTGACAAATTTGTCTGCATGTGTGAGCGGCAAAGAATCTTGTAAAGCAGACCACAGGGACGGAAAAAAAGATATTCATACTCCACACTCATATCTGCTCCTCCTCATCTCCTTCCTCATCCCCTATTTCTCTTATTTTCTCAGAGGGCTCCAGAATATAGGCTTGGGCTATGGGACAAGGAGAGAGTAAGAGAGAACGAGGGAGGAGATGCTGTCAGTTGATGAAGAAGAGGAGAAAGCAAGGGATGAGGAGGAGAGGAGGGAGCTGGGGACTCGTTCTGATCCCTGCCTCTTAATAAATCTGTCAGAGCGAGACAGAAAGAGAGCATGAGAGAGAGAGAGAGAGAGAGAGAGAGAGAGACAGACAGATAGGGAGAGAGAGCAGGAGATGGATCCGTCCGCAGAGGTCTTCACCAGGTGGTTTGAAGTGCAGATCCATTTTTCCTCCTCCTCCTTCGCTCCATCCTCCTCCTTGATGTAGCACTCTACGGATTCTCCCTGCATTCATTTACCTGTTGTTTTGAACTTTGTGTGTGTGAATGTTTGGATGGAGGAGTGTGTGTTTTGATGTGTCTCACCTAGTGGGCATACATGCACTCAAAAAATATCTCAGAATTAAAAAAAAAAAAAAAGTTTTGAAGGCATCTGCACTTACGTTATCATACAACTATCACATTTGAGTATTTATGGAACTGACTGGGTGAATAAAAATGCATTTTCTATAATTCCAAAGTATTTCTAGTCTCTTGTTTTCTGTCACATCGAAAAACTACATGTTGCCTGGTTACACTATCTAACAATAGTCAAACAACATTGTTTTAGGTCATTGTATGTGTTTCAGTCTGGCTGGTAACTGGCCAGAGTTGGTATTTGTCTAGAATTATGTTAATTTGTTTAATTCAGTTCAGACCAAAGATTGAGAAGAAGGGTTAAGGTAAGGGATACCTTGACTTTTAGTCCCTAGTATGGGTTAAAGTCCAAAAATATTGGATCCTACATTTAAACGCAAACAATACTACCTTTTCGCAAGACCCCAATTCAGAGCTTTGATCAAGCCCAAAATATGAGGCCCGACCCCAGACAAAATCCTGTCCGAGCCGGAACTGAGCCCAAACCGCAGAAGCAGTTCTGGGGTGAACTTTGCCAATGTTAGCCAAAACAATTGAATAAAATTATAATATGTCAGTATTGTGTTTACAGCTTGTTCTGCTGCCCTCAAGTAGCCAAAAATATCTCCAAGCCCAAGCTGTGAGATATCCCCTGATGACATCATTGGGGTCATTTTTTCAGGTTTGGAAAAGAAAGGTCAAGTTTCACCTTTAAAGTCTAATGACCTGCTGCCCTCAGGTATTGTTGAGCTTTTCTTCTTGAACTCCAGTATCACTAGCTTATCTTTAAAGATTCAAATATCAATGGGCCACTGAAAAATTAAACCAATTTGTTGACATTTGGAGATAAAAGATTTTCATATAACAGTAGGTCTGGTGTTACTTTTGATTCACCTTGCACCACAGGTGATTGAATCAAGTAAATTGGCACTATGTCAAATTTACAAATGCAAATTTCTACACCCTAATTAGGTAATTAATTACTTCCCCTTGTAAATGATGACTTCATCCTGAGCAAAGCAACTAGTCATCACTCATTTTACACACGGTATTAGTACTGTGACCGAATCCATTTGCTGTTTTTTAAATAATTGCTCTAATCGCATCACATGTGAGCCTTTATTCTCCTCCACCACCATGTGTGACAAATGTTACTCAGTGTCTCTTTGTGTCTAAGTGTCTTGCACAAAGTGAGAGATAATTTTCCTCTTCATGTAGCCTCTCTTTGATTACTCCTATCACAGATGATGTGTGTGATCTGCCAGTGCACTCTCTCTGTGTTTCTCTGTCTTTTTCACTCAGCGTGCCATCAGTAGATTTACACTCTCCTTCACCCCTCCAGCTCTGCCTCCTCTTCATCTTCTTTCCCTCCTTCTCCGTCCTTCCTGTCGGCCTCGTTCTGCTCTTCCTCCTCTCTCTCGCAAAAACATGCATATACAACGCACGCAAATGTGTGATATCAGTATACAGTACATTCTAGTTCCCATGGCTGCATATATGGTCGACATAAAACCACACAAAAAACAAAAAAATACTAATAAACGCAACAGAGAAACAATAAAAATACAGACTGTGGCCAGTAAAACACATATATTCTCACACACACACACACACACACACACACACACAGACAGACACACACACACACACACACATAGCTCCCTGCAAGAGACTACATATATATTTATTTTGTTTCTTCTGTGAATTGTGTTTATTATTGTTTCATATCGCTGCTGCTAGTTTATGGCGTCTGTGTGACACCATGACTCCCAGTTGGAGAGTAAACACTAGATAAGACAGATGCGCGTGTGTGTGGTCACACACACGTGTGTGTGTGTGTGTGTGTGTGTTTTGTTATGGCACTTCCCATTGGCAGGCCATATAACTCAGGTTAATGTTATCTTATTTCACACAGCTCCGAGGCAACCTCAGGGAGTAGATCATTTGGAGCGCTCTTATTACTTTTCATTAGGCTAATGTGACGGGTGGGGGGATTTACAACAAGGGAGGAGGGCGAACACACACACACATGCTGTGACACACTTTGCCGCAGCCCTCATATGTGTGTGTTCGTATTCCGTTTTGAAGCTGAAGTTATCTTCTTTGCAGCTTCAGATAACACTGAACATGCAGACTTCTCACCCACTGCTGGAATGCAGATTACAGTCACGATCAGGCTACAGAGAAATAAATAACCTCTGAAACCTACTGATCAGGAGCTTTGTAGGTTACACCAGGGAAGCAGGTCGAGGATTCAAAGCACTGCCTGGGGGATTGTGGGTATGACCCTTGACCCTGGGAGTGGTTGAAGCCAGGCAGTGTGTGTCGATTTCGACAACAAGTGAGGAAAGGAAATGAGAGCAGTCGTGAGCGGCTGAATGTGTACGTGTTTCTCCTTTGCGTGTACTCTGGTATTTCCTCACTTTGGGCCAAATGTCACTACAAGAACAGACGGATGAAGAAAATACAGCGAGGCGATGACATGTGAAGCTGTTACCTGAGCTTGGTTTTAGATTAGATTATGGTTGGCTTGAGTTTAGGCTAAGAATGAATGTGTGGAGGGGTAAGATAGAGTTGTGAAGTGGAAAGAGCCGTTTATTCCAAGTTTTCTTTGAAAGATATCATCAGTATTCCTTGATTTATAATCATGGCGGTCTCCTGTGTTAACAACACTACAGTTTTATGATTTGCTTTATATATGGGAAGGGCATGGGTTTTAGCAACCTGGAGGAGTTCTGCAGTTAAAAAAATAAAATAAAAATCACCCATTGGGCATTATTAATTGGAATTACTGATTCCAGTATTTGAAAACTGGAATCAGTTTAGAAAAACTTTAGAAATAAACATATTCATAGATAGATTCTGATATTTTTGAGGTAGAAGGAACAGATGACTTTTTAATATTTAATATGTGGAAATTTTACTTTTTAACATATCAGACGCACATTATTGTTCCAAGCAGACTATTTATATGTGTCATAATACATGTCTGGTGGGATCTTTAAATTTGGGCTATTTATTAAGCCATCAACACTATTTCACAAAAATGATTTTATTCCTGGCAGAGCAGAGATGGTTTTGAAACAACTGGAAAATGTCATTCACATAAAATATCACCTTTCAGTTTAACAGAAAAAATATGAAATACTAACCTTTTATAAACTTACTTTGTTGTCTGGACAGAACTCTCTGAGGGAGGAGGGAGTGCACTGGTGGGCCCTGGAGGTATGATGTCAGTACATCTAAATCTTGTTTATGACCGTCAGTTTTAATTATTTCAACTTTCTGAGAAATTGTGTTTTTTTAAGTCAGTTTAATATTGATCCAACTACTATGATGCCCATAAGTCTCGGTTGCTATGGAGAAAATGCTGAATTCATCCAAATTTGACCCAGGCGAAATGATTTAATCTTCTGAATGGTTTGTCAGGTTTCTAGGGAGAGTAGCCACTGCTCACCCTGAGCAGAACACACAACTACATTTTAAGCTCAGTGATTCAATGTTTTTTAATGGAAAGCTCTGTGGGAGTTATACTTGACTTCTCCCTATGTGTTTTTATGTACATATAAGCTTAACCTCTTATTATAGATATTTTCTAACACTGCTGCTCATGTTTTACCCTGACGATTCAACCATGAGAGTTTTTCCAAGTCTTGGAAGCTCTCCAACTGTACTCCAACATTGTTTATACAGAAAATGAACGCAGCTTTAACTTCTGGCATTACATTTAGCGTTAGGATAAGATAAGATAAACCTTTATTGATGGATACATTTGGTTGTGGCAGCATGTAGGTTTCTGTCAAGATGCAGATTTTGAAAGTAGCAAAGCAACACTTCCTTTTTTGTCTTTGTCTTACATCACTGTGATATAAGATTATTTCCATGTTTGAAGAGCTCCTCTCTGTCTCTCTCTCTCTCTCTCTCTTCACACACACACACACACACACACACACACACACACATGCATACGGCGTTCTGTAGGAATGGTGGAGGTCTGGTGCTTGGCCTCTGAGTGGAACCATGAAACGCACTTCCACTCCGCACTTCTCCTTTTCTGGAAGTTTCCCTCCACCTATTGGGTGGTCTGTAACATCACTAGGATCATACTCAGATTATTTCCCCTTTCCGTTTTTTTGCAGATAGAGAAACAATATTTCAGTTTCAGGCTCCGCTAAGGACTGACCCCATTCTCTCTCTCTTTATTTGACTTTGTCTCTTACCCAGTGTCTCTCGGTCTCCGTCCTCCTCACCATCTGCTGTCCAGACACAGAGGCCACTGACGTTTGTTTTCATCTTTTCTTTTCTCTTCTTTTCTTCCCCTCCTTACAGTAAACACCTGCACACACTCCGAATGGAAAATCATGATGAATAGCACTGTTGAAAGAGTGGTGACAGCCCTGAAGAGATCCCTTTCAGATGCACAAATAAGGATAAGGGGGGCGAGTGTGTGTGTGTGTGTGTGTGTGTGTGTGTGTAGGAGGCCAGGCTGGTAAGCATGACCTTAATTTACATTCTTATTCAGTCATTATCAGTCATGTTAAGAGTATTTTTGTAGTAACAGCGTTTCAAGTTTTGTAATCCATCATAAGTTCATTATGGGTAAAATCTCATTAGATAATTAATCTTATTGTAGTCATATTGTTCCATTTTGTCAATGACTTTAAAAGGCAGAAAGAGGGAAAATCCCGCTGTATATCATCAGACAAAATGTTGGTAATTTATTATTACTTTTAATAAACAGCAAACCCATAACCCAACCGCTTATTTAACAGGACTGTGCCAATGTTTTTACACGTTTCAGCCCATTAAGAACAAATCGCCTATGTTTTACATTCCTGCTGACTGTTTTCCAAAGTATACAAGAAGTTTTTAGATTGATTTCCCACCCTCCAGGCAGCCACCGCTTTCCATTCATTTGAATAAGAAAATCAACTTGGAGGGATTTAAAACTCACTTGAGATAGGTAATCCATCATAGAAACATTTGTTGCCTTTAAATATTTGGCAAAGTTACTTCATTGTCATGTTGCCCTAAAGTCCAGACCAGAGACTGTTTTGGAAAGTTGAAGGACACTCTTTTTCTGAATTTTGAGAGTTGGATGTTGAACCGCAGGGCAAGCAAAGA